CAGCCCATTTCCATTTAATTCACTTGCTGATCCATTTTGACTCTCTTGCTGCATGTGACCTCAGTTTTTGTAGGTGGTTGTAATTTTAGGCCCCAAATTGGTTTGGTTTACAAACAAATCTCTTTAGCAGCCTTTACCCCCCATCACAAGGCATGTCTTTTCTCACACCCTCCTATTGGTAATACTCATTTTGACCATCAATTGTTGGCAAACCCTCTTGCCACATAAGAAGCATCGCTGGTGGAAGAGACAGGAGGGTGATCCTGCCCACTGCCTTCTCCACACTGCAGCTACTGCAGTGAGATCCCTCTTCTTACAGAGGGGCAGTTTCTAGCTTATAGAGGCAGAAACACCTCTCCATATATCACCCCAATATTTTAGTGCAAAACACTGCTTAGGCCAAAGTGGACCAAGATGGATGCCAGCCAAGCATCAGCCTTGGAAAACAATTTCAAAACACAGGTGAGGGCGGCTGGCTGGCTACTGCCCCCTCCTTGCCCTGAAAAGATGCATGACTTTAGAAAAATGTGTCACCCAGGACCTATGCATTCACTCAACATAACCCCATCAACACCCTGGCCTCTTTCTATGGATTCACTCAGCATAACCCCACTCAGGACCTATGGATTCACTCAGCATAACCCCATCAACACCCTGGCCTCTTTTCCCCTCACCCATCACCCCTTGATTAAGCAGCAATTAACTAATGCTTAAATCTATTTACCTTCCTGATTGCCCTTCCTGTCCAGTACTTGTGGAACCATTGAGCCTTCATACCTTTTTGTCTACTGTCAGTTAAGCCATTAAATCATCGTTTTTTAACAAGCACATCATCCCTAAGGGTACGTTTGGCCATAAAACTATGCCACTCTGCTGCCCCAGCAGTGTGTGTGTGCTATGTGACCACATATACCCTTACATTGTGGGCTTCTTTTTCTCTCCTTCACAGAACAAAATGCTGGCTGTTTTCTCTCTAGATCTGCTGCTTCCATGGACCTCTCCAAGACTGGTAATTATCACCCCACCCTTCCTTAGAAAGCTTTCCCTTTCCTCCCGACCTTTCTTAGTTAGCTCTTGTATGTGTTCAGTGTGTGTGCATGCTTTTTTGTCCATTTCTATTTTCTTTTTAATACAAAAACTTTCTGGTTGAACATCTGCCTGGTTTATCTGAGAGTTCTCTTAAAGGGAAAAATCCTGGTATACATAGGTGGAGAATCCCACTTACCCACCTCTCATTATGTCTCCTTTAGCTAATTCCCCCAACTTAGTTGGAGCCTGCCTCTTTGGGTAACAACTTGTGTGTCATGGGTGACCTGCATGGGAGACCCATGTCTGTGCAGGTCTACCAGTCCTCAGCATCACTCCTTCAGGTTGCTCACAGAGGCTGCTGGAGGAACAAGAATGTAGGAAAAATCTGTTCCCACCAGTATCCTGCACTGGCACAAAGAATCCAACTAAATTATTTTATTTATTTATTCATTCATTCATTCATTCATCTAATTTGTACCCTGCCCTCCCCGCCAAGGCAGGCTCAGGGCAGCTTACAGACAATATGTTAAAACAGTTAAAACACCATATTTAAATATAATCACAGACAATACATAATAAAACATTATGTTTCTTAACATGATTTTTATCAGTCGGCAGCAATCCTAGCAAAGGTTCAACATTTGGTATTTTTGAAAACTGACAAGTGAAGATGGAAAATTCAATGCAGAATTGTTACCGTAACATACCTGTCACCAAAACAGGGTGATCCACAAGGCTTTACAAAGTAAGCCTTGTACAGCAAACACTCTCCAAAAGTCACTTTCATTGCTTAAATATATGGCTCAGATAAAAAGGGCCAGCTTGCTATTATAAGCAAGGCCAAGCCTGGACTTAAGAAAAACGCTTGTTGGTGCAGTAAATGCTATGATGCTGCCAGCCGTATTTCAGAATTATAAGTCTGGCATTTGTGTGATAAATACAACCAATGTGTCTGTTTTCAAGATGTGGCCTTAGTTTAGAAGAAATTAAATAATTGAGTTGTGGAAGGTTTAAAATTAGCTGCTAATTATGCACAGTAGTTAACTTTCCTACCATTTTAAGCAATGACACCAAGTATTATTGATATAAATGGGGTATTGGCACCGTTCCCTGTCGTTCCACTTAGCAGTGTGTCACAATCTTTCTTACTGCAGATTTTATGGCTACCGTGCCTCCCATTCATGGGAGGGGGGCATAGAGAGATTCCATCATTATTCTAGCTGTTGGCCAAAATAGTGTTCTTTTGGGTCAAGGACAAAGACAACCTAGGCAAGAAAAAAAGGAGTGGGGGAGAGAGCTTGCTATCTGATTTTCAGAGGAAAAGCACAAATGCATGTTTGCATAACTTCGACTGGTTTCTATGAAGTTTGTGCAGAAGGTATTCCTGACAGATCGTGTCCATCGCTGGTTTAGAAAATTGGCACCATTAAAAAAGTATTACTTTTATTGGATTTCGGTTCATATCCCCCCCTTTTGTTTTTGCCATTTCAAAATGTGCCCCCTTGTGCTTTAGTGCATCAAGAGAAAAGTTTTCTTAATGTTTTATGCTTTAAGTAGTAGGACAGCTGCAGATTTTTGTTTCCATTTTTAAAAGTGTGAGTGGAACGAACACAGGCATGAATCATGCTGTTCAGTGTATATCCCGCGGTTAATATTGTAAACGAGTCCATCATAGGATGCAAGCAAGTAGCTCTGCACAGTCTTTATTAGGGTGTGATAAAAGAAGTTATCAGTGGATATAGCGAATTTAAGACACTTTATTGCTGAATATAGCAGTAATATATTGCAGAACGCTTTTTAATTGGTAGTTAGCTTCTGGTGTTTTGCTAAGGCCAGCAGTTTGCATATGTATACCACCCTCATAAAATTGGATTTGAGCCGACACTTGAGAGTACAAATTACGCATGCTTCTCAGTTTCAAGATCTTCTTTAATTATCTTAGTTCTGGTGTCCATCAGCAGCCTGTTTCAATATTAGGCTTTAAGTCATCATTAAGCTGGAGGAATGTCCAGTCCCCCATGAACACTGAAGCAGTATTACCATGTTGTTGTAAGGGGCTCTCAGAGTTTCTCGCTATGCTACTTCTGTTGAGAGCTGAATACAGAACTGGGAAGAAACAGAAGGGGAACGAGACTATGGAGGCGGGCAAAGTTGTAGGTCAAATTTGTGATGCCATCTAGTGGTCACAAGATTTTAGTGCCGTGTTCTATGCCAAATCCTATCTTTTAGTCTATTACCATTGGCAGACAACTTTAAGAAGGCTAAATCAGTCCCTTCAGACTGACCTAAATCAGTTTCCACTTGCCCCATAAAAGTATGGATTCACTACTCCATGCCTTCCTTGCAATGGGAGGATTTATATCATGACCTGGACATGATTCAGTCTGGGTTGAAGTCAATTAGGAGTTCAATAAACTAACATATATGTAACATATAAAGGTGCCTTCTACAGAGACAGGCCATTGGTCCATCCAGTCTAGTAATATCTGCTCTGATTAGAAGTGGCTCTCTCCCTTCCTAATTTCTGATGTAGTTTTTTTTTACATTATGCCTTAGTTTTGTTATAAATTGCTGTAGTTAAAGTCTGTTCTAGGAGACCCACAGACTTTCACTATATTAAAAGTAAAATTAGCACAAAACAGCAAGGTGAGAGGGAGAATGACTATGGTCCCCAAGATCACTCTTTCTTTGGATGCCTAAATAACAGCTTATAAGAAATTATAAGAGCCAGTGCTTGCAGACAAAAAGTAATTAATGCCATAATTGTAGCCAGATTCACTCACACAGAGAGTACAAGTGAACATGATTCTAGCTACTCAGAAGATATCAGAAATCTTCTTCTTCCGTCTCCTTAAGCCCTTGATTTAAACCTAGGGATATGTGAGAGTTATATTATGCATATTGTTTCATGCCTTCTTCCAGGGCTATTTTTGGGCAGGAACGCACAGGAACGGAGTTCCGGCTGGCTCCCAAGTTGGCATAATAGGCCACACCCAACAGCAGAAACTCATTAGCATATTAGGCCACACCCCTGACAGCACAGCTCATTAGCACATTAGGCCGCACCCACATGTTACCAGAAGTGTGGTTATCCAGCCACACCCACCTTTTGCTTCTTATTCTGTTTACCTTGTTCGTTGTCAAAACCCAGGGCCTTTTTTGTAGCAGGAACTCCTTTGCATGTTAGGCCACACACCCCTAATGTAGCCAATCCTAATGAGTTTCTGCTGTTGGGCGTGGCCTATTATGCTAATGAGTTCCTGCTGTTGGGTATGGCCTATTATGCTAATTAATTTTCTACAAAAAGAGCCCTGCGGCTTCTTCCACCATAAGGAACCTCTAGCAACATATAAATGGGTGAAGTATTTGATGAATTGAAAAAGATGTTTACAAACCTCCAACCAAGTAGACCAACAAGGAACACGGAAAGCCCAGATACACCAATGGTAATGGGCAGACTATGATGCACTTTTTACAGCCAAGATTATACCAAATGGTCTCATGTGGCTGTTTGGGTTCTTGTGGTTATTTGTGCAATCAATAGGAATTTATAGATACCTACAAATGTTATCATGAAAACTACATTGTTTACCATTTGCACTGGCTGGTAGTTCAGGTTTCCAATAAAGGCACTAATTTTCATACATATCATGAGAACATCCTAGTTTTCATATATTATCCAAAACTCTGAACTTCTACATCCTGAATGGGTTACATTATCTTGCAAAGGATGAAAAAGTGGTGGAGAAAATCTAGCTGTTACCTACTGTAGATGTTCAAATAAAAATATCAGTAAACTACAGTAAAACAATGAAGGAGATATCCAATACTAGGAAGAGAAATCCAGAAATAACAACAAAGTTGCATCTTATAGAATCACAGTTTTAATATATTTTAGAGTTATGAATCACAGTACTCATTTGAACAGTTGATGGAGGATCTCATCCAACTGTGGTCCTTTCTTCTTAAGACGGCATTCTGAGGAACTCACTCATCATCACATACCTGGTACTGCATCATTTTTCTTTGCTGGGAAGGGGGGGGGAGACAGGCATACTACTTAATACAAATGAAAAACAAACCTCTGCAGCATCCCTGTCCTTATTGTACAACCAGTAGGAGCCTATTACGGATTGAAGACCTGATGCCTGAGTGATGAGGGAATCAGAAGGAATGGGGAAGAACATCTAACCCACTAAAAAGCTCTTTGCAGATGCTCCTGAATGCAAGTCTCATAATTCTCAGGGCAGGTTAAGAGCTTGTGGGGTGACCATGGACTGTGTCTTGCTGTCTGACAAGTAGGTTGGCATGGTGGCCAGGAGTGCCTTCTATCAGCTGCATTTGATTTGCCAACTTTCTCACTACCTGGACTCAGCTGATCTGGCTATGGTGATAACCTCACGGTGCGATTACTGCAACGTGTTCTACGTGGGGCTGCCCTTGAAGACAACCTGGAAACCACAACTGGTCTAGAGTGCAGCAGCCTGACTGCCAGGAACATATGTTGCCCATTTCGAAACAGCTACATTGGCTGCCAGTTTGTTTTCAAGTTCAGTTCAAGATACTGCTTATGACCTTTGAAGCCCTTCATGACTTGGGACTCACATATCTGAAGGACCATTTCCTTCCATATGTCCCAGTCCACCAGCTACGGCCATCAGGCAGCTATCTGTTGACTATCCGACAACTTAGGCCATCCCATCTGGCATTGACCGGAGCCCAGGCCTTTCCATTGTGGCTCCGGCTTTGTGGAATTGGCTCCTTGAAGAGGTGAGGAGGGCCCTCCTCCTTGGAGATTTTCAGGAGGTGCTGCAAGGCCTGCCTATTTACCAGGGCATCTGTGGGGGGGGCTGAACAGCAGGGGTCTTTTAAGGGGAGAGAGATTTGGGGCTTATTGTATCTTTGGTTTTATCTGGGGATGTTTTAACTATTACTGTAAGCCATCATGAACCAAAAGGAAACGCGGGATATAAATGTTTAAATAAATAAATGAAGTTCACTTGTACCTGCCCACCCAAGAGGCCCAGAATCATGTTTTATGATTACCAAGTCAAATAATGTCCAGTTCCGCTCCTGCATTAGAAGAGTTTAAGCAAGGGGCATGAGTTGAAGGATGAAAATTATGGACAAGTCTTCCATCTATGGTGAATTTATACATACCCTTCAGCTCTTAAAACATAAACTCTTAACAAGAAAATAGTTCACTTTAATCCTGAACACAATCATACCAAAATACATTGGTAGATTTCTAACAGACTAGAAGACCGCAATTATCAGGAAATGTAGGTAGATAGCCAGCTAGATAAGTAGCTGTACTTACTCTTTCACTAGACACACAGAGGACGCCTTCCCTGTCTATATGAGGTTTGAAACTCTCCTCCAATTGAATCACAAGAGGGTTATTCAACGTGGAGTTGTATGTTCTCTTCAGGACCGTATCTCTAAAGAGTGGACTCAGCTGTGAAAATAAATATAATAGCCTATATTTATTACAGATCTACCTTGCATATGAGATCAACAATGCAGTACCAAAATGAGTTGTCTCTGAAAAATATATACTTTCTAGGAAAAAGAGATTCTCTTAACCACAAAGGGATTTTATTTTTCTTAGCAACAGACTCTTTCAGAGAAGTTTTCAGGAAAAATCTGAAGATTTCTGTATTAGATTCACCCCATGGGGGGGGGGGTAACATTGCTATAGAACAAACCCTACCTGTGTGCTTGCTGTTGTGTAAATATAACAAAATAATTTAATGTTTCTCAATAAATAGGCCATGGGCCTTGATTATTATTATTTTCTTCCAAAGAAACCTGTTTGCTATTACTATGTAGTGTCTATCACACTACTTACAGCTCCACTTCTCCAGGAAGGGGTGAGTCAATAACAGGATTTCATTGAACAGGTGATCCAAAGGACGATTTACACACATCATTTTTTTTCCAAGGAAAAATCTCATCGTTTATGGAGAGAAAAGGACATCCTTGTACACAATCATGTTTGAGAAAGGGTGAATGTTTATTGTGCCATAATAAGTACACATTTTAAGCAAATGAACTGTTAACAGAACAAAAAACAGATTATAGAAAGGAGGCTGGATACCCCCCCACTGACTGAGTAATAATTGCTAACGGCAAATAGGCAGTCACTAGATAAGCCTGGGGAAAAAGTGCTCCCCCAATGGCATTGACATAATTTTTCAAGGACTCTGCAAGACACTGTCGCTGGTCCCCTAATTGCCCCACACAAACTCTATGCCTTTACACAGACCCGCTACCTCCATTCAGTTTCCTGCCTTTGCAGAGGTTTGAATATGCCCTTCAAGAGCCACCCCACCCCCAGTTCTACAGCATTCCAGCTCCTTAAATGCCCTGTAAGGGGCCGTGGTGGCTCAGAGGTTAAGACTCTGAAGCTGCAGACTGGAAGGTCTGTAGCTTGGCAGCTTGGGACCGTAGTGCCGCGTGGCGGAGTGAGCTCCCGTCTCTAGCCCCAGCTCCTGGCAACCTAGCAGGTCAAAAGCAAGAAATTGCAAGTAGATAAATAGGTACCGCTTTGGTGGGAAAGTAACAGCATTCTATGCACCTTGGCGTTTAGTCATGCCGGCCACATGACCACAGAGAAGTCTTTGGACAGTGCTGGCTCTTTGGCTTGGAAATGGAGATGAGCACCACCCCCTAGAGTTGGATTCAACTGTCTTTTGAGCAAGGGGAACCTTTACTAAATGCCCTGTACACACACCTGCCCCCCATCCTGTATAGAAATATTGATTTCTAAAAGCCTTCTGCCTTCTCCTGTTCTGTCTTTGATAACCCTGTGGCTTACATCCTCTTGCAAGCCAAATGGCCTCAATAGCATGCCATATAACCACACATACTTTCACACCTCTAAGTGGAAGAGCTAGACTTCAAGGCACCTGCTTTAAGGCTACATGAGCCATGCCACGTACATCATGGAAAAGCTGGGGTTGGGGGCCATGTGACTGAAGGCGTTGTTTTCCAAACCCCCAGCCTATCCCCAGTTGTCCCCATGACAACCAAAAAATTGGTCACACACCCTGCTACTCGTAATTGGCTGATGGCCACGGCTAGTCATGATTAGATTGGGGTTTTCTACTTGTTGAATTCCACCAAGCTGAGCACATGGCTGGTGCACAAGGGGGATTTTCCCTCAGAATCCCTTGGTGTCTAACTGGACTGTATACCTGGACATTCTTGGGCTATGGATCATCCTGGTAATTATGCATATCTCTTACTGTGTAGTGAAGGCAAAAACTGCCCTAGTCTTTCTTGTTTTGCAATCCTTATTAGTCTAATTGCAAAGCTCTGAACTGAATAAAATATTATTCTTGTTTCTAACTTGTTTGATGTTGTAACTGGATTCCAAGGCTAAACTCCTGTGCCTTCTGCTCACCATACAGCTACCTTGGTAAGATTAACTGTGCAGCTCTAGATTGAGTTGTTCAATGTGTTATGTCCCAGAGGCTAACCTAAAGGTTTGGAATCCCTCCCTTGGGGAAAGCTGGGACTAGTTAAAAAGGGATTCTGGTGGCTATTGTTCTGAATCCAGAGAGGGCAGCCTACCTCTCTGGGTTGTTGTTAAATGTATTGAAAAAGTATAGGTTTCTCCCTCATTCCTGGACAGGCTTGGGGTAGAGATCTATACACATCCATCTTCAAGTCACCACCATTTTTGCCAGGATCTCTCCTGGGTGTTGTTTTTTTTGGGGGGTGGGGCTTCTTCAAGACACATCTTTCTGAGCCATGCAGCACACAATATATAACCCTGCACTTTTCCCTACTGGATTTCCTTATTGCCCAGACCCCTTCATCAGAGTTGGATCCTACAGCAGGCAGCTGTATCTGTTTCCCTCCTCCACTTGCCATCTTTCTCTCTTTCACACATTCCTTTCTTCCACTTGAATGAATAACTTCCTTGGAATTGTGGTGCTTGGAATCACTGTGTTCTGCTTTGATGCGCTGCATGATCATTCTTTGGAGGTTCTAGCAGGGGAGTGCAGCTGTTGCATATCCTTGACTGAAGAACTACTACTACCTGGGATAGTCATCCTCTTCCACCAAGCGTTCACCTTCAGGAGGGACACTCATGGAGCAGTGAGAGAGGCAGAGGACAGCCGCCTAGCCAGCCAGATCAGCCAGATCAACTCTGGTGATCAGTGGGGTGACAGATGTTGGAGCCAGATCCGCATAGTCACTCTAATAAACCATGTTTCTGATTCCCATCTTATTTGGCTTCTCAGCTTGCCTTCCCAGTTTGTGGCAGTGCTTCATCATCTAATCACAGACTAATATTCCTGATTTACGGCTATTGCTCTGGGCATATCCAGTATTCAAATGCAAGTTAGCAGCTCCCTAGATGTGTGATCTGGCGTGATCTGGTCCATGGGGTCGCAAAGAGTCGGACTCGACTGTGCGACTGAACAACAACAAAAAGACGTGTGAGGCTAGAGAGAGGAAAGTAGCTTTCTTGCACTGGGCTATTTTGGTGTGCATGTGTGCTGTTATTGGAAAGTAGATCATATCTACACAAGCACGAGTATAGGGTGCCCACATTCCAATTATTCAAAGTAACCACACATCGTGGCATAATATGAACAACTTAAATTGAACTGAGGTTAAAGTACAAGGGCTGTGAGAGAATAAAACCAATACTGTAGTGGCAGTTTTTGACAAAACAATATTATTTTAATCTGCACAGTAAATAAGAACTCCAATGGCCAATTAAACGCCATGCTGGGCAGGACCCCCCTCAACCCGACCCATTTTCTTAAACACTTGATGGGCACAAGGAAAGGTGTCAGCGGACACCATTTTGGGGACCCATGGATTAATGCATTTTATTTCCTTTGCATACTTCAGTACAGTGGGCCAGATCCAAGCAGGGGTTAGAGCTGTAATAAAGATGGTGAATTGGGTGAGATTGAGTGGGAAAGCTGGTTGGATCCAACCCAGATTATTGAAATGTATTCTTGGTGTTTAAATTCTGGGGCATTGCTTCATCTCAAACCCCTAATTTCAAATACAGAAGATAACTCTGAATGACCACCTCCTCTTCTATAGACCCAAATGCTTATTGTAGCTCTGTCCTCAGTCAGTCTGCCAGGTGCAACCTTCCTCAGCTAGAAAGGAAGCTTTCCCTGTTATAATACTGTTCATCTGGAATAGACTTCCAAAAGAGGTGGCAGTGTGGAACAGTCAGGGCTTTTTTTGTAGAAAAAGTCCCGCAGGAACTCATTAGCATAATAGGCCACACCGAACAGCAGAAACTCATTAGAATTGGCTACATTAGGGATGTGTAGCCTAACATGCAAAGGAGTTCCTGCTACAAAAAAAGCCCTGGGTTTTGACCACAAACAAGGTAAACAGAATAAGAAGCAAAAGGTGGGTGTGGCTGGGAACATGGGAGTGTGGCTTAATATGCTAATGAGCGGTGCTGTCAGAGGTGTGGCCTAATAGGCTAATGAGTTCCTGCTGGGTGTGGCCAACTTGGGAGCCAGCTGGAACTCCGTTCCTGTGCGTTCCTGCCCAAAAATAGCCCTGGGAACAGTCATTATAGGGTTAGGCTGGGAATGTGGAGGCCCAGGTTCAAAATCTCAATCAGGTATGAAGCTTATTGGTAACCTGGGGCCTCTTAGCCTACCCATCCTCATGGGTCCATGGTAAAAATAAAACTGAGAAGAGGAGAAATCTATACTGCACTGAGGTCCTTGGAGGAATGGCAAGATAAGCACCTTCTTCAGAACCATTCTGGAAGATATCTAAGGCAGTCCCTTCTCAGAGAGTGTTGTCTTGCTTATTCTAGTGATCTACAGAGAGGGAGAAGCACACTGTATCTTTGTTTTTAATTGTTATATTTTAGCATATCGGTATTTTTAATGGTTCGATGATTGGTTAGATGCCTCATATACTGAAAGATAGGATATAAATTGCACAATGTCCCCAAAATAAATGAATGAATGAATAAATAAACAGAGCCATTCCTCTATGGGTGTGGTTTTTAAAAAGTTCTGGGGAATCTTGGGATACCTCAGAAGCTTATCAGGGTTTCCTCAGTTAGATGATCAAACATGGTAGACAGGCATCCCCAAAACTATATCTTGACTCACCACTGCTAATCTATTTGTAACATTCATGCAAGCATGTCTTAGCTGGCAAATCTATGCAGACAGGTAGAAAGGGCTGAAAGCCATCACTCTGTGGTTTTTAAATGTGGACATATGTGGACATATGCCGCTCCAGTGAAGTACAGAATGCAGTTCTGGCAGATTTTGCCTTTATGCGGAATATAAGCTGAAAGTTAAAGATGGACGTCTTGTGATTAACAAGCAATGGTGGTTATTTGTGTAAAAGGCCAAGGAGGAAGGGCACAGATTAAATAGAAGGGCAACCCAAGGGCAAAATGCATGTTGATCAGCCTGCACAGATCTAGGCAGCAATCAACCC